CCTGCCCACTCCCCCAGCCGGCCGGCAGGGGAAGGGGCTGCCTGAGCCGCTCCCATCTCAGGCCACTCCCACTCCCACAGCCCGGCCTGCAAGGGGAAGGGGCTGGGCTGAGCCCACTCCCACTCCAGCCATGTGGGTGGCAGCTGCCCGAGACCCGAGACACGGCGGCAGTGGCGGACTCTGCTGCAGCCCTGCCCCTGGCCGTGTGCGTGCCCGCCTCCTCTGCTGACTCGGGGCTGGCCCTTGCCCCTGCTTCCAGGTTTCTCTTCACACAAGTCCCCTGCCTTTCTGTTTAAGATGCACCCTCGGCAGGATTTGGGGACAGAGGTGCTGGATGGGGGCAGGGGCAGAGGTGCTGCATCTCAGGGCTCAGTGTGGTCAGCCCCTGCTGTGAGGGACCTGGCAGCCCCCCTCCCCCCAGTACTTCCTAGCCCCCTATGTACCCAGCAGTGCTGAGCACCTGTCTTATGCCTGTTGTCCTGGGCACTCCTCCTGCCCTGTGAGGTCGGTACCCCATTTCATAGGGAGGACCCGAGGCACGGAGAGGCCCAATAATACCTGCAGCAGGTCGCGCGCTATGGGTGGAGAAGGGATTTGAACTCGGAGTCTAGCTCCAGGACTAGAGGTCTGAACTGCTCTTGTTTTCTTGTCACTGTCTTCTGCTTGTTTCCCATTGCGTTAACTGAGACCCGTGAGGGCCAGCCCTTTTTTTAGCCCGTGCGACACACACACACACACACACACACACACACACACACGCACACACACACACGTGCGAGTGTGCAGAATTAAGGCACGAGATATGGGTGAGGTCTGGGCATTGTGTTTTATCTGAAGCTAAGATTCCATATAAATTTCCATTAGCATCTACAGTAATCAGACATTGGGTAGTTAGAAAATACAATGTCTACTCAAGACTTTTGAGGACTTCTAAAAAAGTAAGAGAACTAGCTACTCTACCAGAGCCTCCAGCTCAGGGACTGCTGTCTGGCACAGGTGCCCTCACAGTGCCGCTGCCCCTCACAGTGCCGCTACCCCCTGCTCTCAGCCCATTGTGGAGGGCCTGGCCTTCCCCCTGGCAGCACCTCCCATGTCCCCAGAGGCTCCCGCTGTCACCGTGCAGGGTGCGTAGCCCTGGGGCGCTGGCTCGTCCCCGAGCCCTGCCTGCTGAAAGAAGTCCGATTGGAGGGCCGTCTCTAGGTGACTGAAAAGAACAGGAGAGAACGCCACGCTCCAGCTTGCCAAATTGAAACGAGAATTGAATGGCCAGGAGAAAGAGGCCACTGTACCTTGTAGCCTCTTCCCTGCGAGAGATTAAAGACGTCTTTGGCCGTATACGGTATTGATTTGTCCTCTGAAGTGTAAATCATCAGTGAGTTGCTCAGGGGAGCGCCAGGGAGTGGGGCAGAGGGCAGGGTGTGCACACAGAGCCCCGGCCAGGGCTCGGCCAGCAGGTCCTGGGCACCTACTATGTGCTGGGGCCTGGGACCTGCATAATTATGCCCATTTTGTAGATGAGAAAACAGAGGCCAGAGAGGGTAGGTCAGTCTCCCAAGGCCATGAAGCCAGATGCGGAGGAGCTGGGGCTGGAAGCCAGCTCTGTCTTCTGGGGGGCCTCTGGGGAGCGCCCGGCACTGACGGACACTGGCATGGGGCTTGAAGAAAGCAGGGCCCGTCCGGGGCCCACAGGTGGTTTGGGTCGGGTCCTCTCGTGAGCAGTTCCAGCGCCCTGTGCGCCCAGGGTGGGAGCAGCATGGCCTTTCTCGGAGTGGCAGGAAGAGCTTCGGGCCCCGGCCTGCTCCCGGGGGACACCCTGTCCTTGCACAGTGGGAGTCCCGAGGCCGCATCTCCCTGTCACGCTCCTGCGTCCCCCGTGGCTATTCCAGCGATGCTGATGAGCCAACCTGTTGCTGCCCGACCGCCAGCTCCAACTCCCAGGGCTGAGCCTCGGACTTGTATTTCCATGGCCCCTGTCAGTGCAGTGGCATCGGCGTGGGCATTGGTGACTGGCAGGGCCCTGGCTGTGTGAAATCTCTGGGCTCAGCTTCCCTGGCTGTACGCGGAACACGGGCCTTCTGGAGGCTGCGAGGGACTGGGGAAGAGCTAGACCAGCTGGAAAGAGCTGTGCCAGCCCCTCTGGGTGCTCATGTTTTTGGGAGACCAGAGGAGAGGTTTGCCCTTGGCACTCCCAGGATCCAGAACCCCTAAAGGGGGAGCCTTAGAGAGTCCCTTTCTGCTGCCCCTCTCCCCTCCCCTCCCTTCCCCTCCCACTTCTCTGTCTCTCTCTCTAACACTCCAGGCTCAAGCCCACCTCAGGGCCTTTGCACGAGCTGGTTCCTCTGCCCAGAAAGCTCTTTCTCTGGATAGCCATGTGGATGTGAAAGAGACATATCAATCGGTTGCCACCTGGAGAAGTCCTGTGTCTTCCCAGGTGTCCCCTCTTCAGGGAGGCCTCTGATCACCATGCCTCACACTCTTCATCCTCTCTTCCCTGTCGTTTCTTTAAAGCACTGGACAAGTACATTTTTATTTGTTTATGGTCCACCAGGCCAGAGACTTTTTGCCTGTTTTGTTCTCTGCTACATTCCCAGCCTCTAGCACAGTCCCTGACGGGCACATAGTAGTTGCTCAGTAAGTGTTTGTGAAATGGATGATTGATCACAAAATCCAGCTCCCAACTACCCGCTTCTTAAGCCCCCCTCCCACCCCTGGGCCTGCGAGGCTGCTCTCCTAGCCTCCCGAACACAGGCTGAGGCTGGCAGAGCATTAGCCTCTGGGGTTAGGCCAGGCCGCCCTGGGACTCAGCCTCCATCCCCACTGAGCTCCCTGCTGTCTCTGAGACTCCACTGACTCACTGAGGACAGAAGTCCTTTCTGGGGAGGCAGAGGCAGGGCTGTGAGGACACAGGGCCCGTCTGCAGCGGCTTCAGGCTGAGATGTGGGGTTCAGCCTCCTCTCACGTCTCCCACGGTGCCTGCCTCGGAGGACGGGAAAGGGAGAGGCTGGGCCCCGCAGACCCACTTGAGCCTCCCGGCTGGCCTGAGCTGCACAGGTTTATTTCACACCTGCGGGTGTGGAGAGGCGCCTGGCCGCGGGCCTGCTGGCTCTCGGTGGGCGTGGGAGGCGCGGCGCCCTGCTCTGCCAGCGGTAGGTGCTGAGTAAGTGAATGTAGGGGTGCAGGATGCATCTGTTGACGTGAAGAGAGACACTCCGGGGCTGCAGGGGCCCTGCCGAGCCAGAGGGCAGGCCAGCCGGGCTGGGGGAGGGTGCCTGGACCAGCAGAGGAAGGAACGGGCCTGCCAGGTGGGGGAACAGCATGAGCGAGAGTCTGGAGGTAGGAGTGAATGAGGCAGATGGGACCCCGGCGAGGGGCCTGGCCTGGTCCTAGTGGCCACAGGACAGGGGCCAACGTGAAAGGGAGCTGAGCAGCCCTGACCAGTTTGGCTCAGTGGATAGAGCATCGGCCTGTGGACTCAAGGGCCCAGGTTTGATTCCGGTCAAGGGCATGTACCTTGGTTGCGGGCACATCCCCAGTAGGGAGTGTGCAGGAGGCAGCTGATCGATCTTACTCTCATCGATGTTTCTAACTCTCTATCCCTCTCCCTTCCTCTCTGTAAAAAATCAATAAAATATTTAAAAAAAAAGAAAGAAAGGGAGGT